AGATATCATGGTGCCAGCCTTCCCCTTCGTGTCCCCTGGCAGGTAGCAGCGGCCACAGACTGGAAAAGGGGCCTGTGAGCTGGTCTGGGCTCAGCTTCATTTGGATGACACACTCCTTCCTGGAGTCTTTGTTCTCCCATCTCTAAAATGGGAAGAGTCATTCTTGCTGCCACGATTCATTGTCCAAAAACACAATGAACAATTGAACACATTTTCACTGGCTTCCAGAAAACAAAACAAAAACAAAAAACACAACACAATGAGGGTTTTCTCTTTTTGAATAAAGCTAAATTATATCCTTCCTTTTTTGTTGTTGTTTTTTTTTTCTTTAAACAGTAAGAGACTGCAGTTTTTTCTTTCTACATCCTATTTAGCAAAATTTAAAGTTGGCAATGCTGTGTTGCTTTCTCAGACTTTCATTTGAAATGTTACTGTTTTGTAAGACTCACAGGCAGGAGGATGTCATCAGGTGACGGGAAAAGACGTGAAACCTTCAGACCCCTCCCTCCCACCTCCCTGCGGTTTTATAGGGGAGGAGCAGTGGGTTATTCAGGAACCAAATGGCCAGGCAGCTAGGGGAGAACTCAGTCCAGACACGGAGGGTTGTCACCAAATCCTCCAGTCCTGTCCTCTGTGCGGTCATGACTACCTGAAGTTTTCTGGAGGTCCCTGGTAAGGCACCTTCCACTTAAGGCAGGGCCACTGGGGTTCCACCCTGCTTGTGCCAAGCCAGGCACAGACAATGGGGATGCTCAGACTGCAGTCTACAGGCACGAGGGCAATGCCGCTTCCTAAGATTGGGTGCTTGTTAAAAGCACTAATCCATGCCCAGCAGACCCACCTTCATCTCTGGGGGTGAGCCTGGCTACCTGCATTTAACATGTTCCTTGGGTGATTCTTAGGCCCCTAAAGTTAGGTATGTCTCTCAAAGGGGTCCTCTGAGTTCATCTGGGAAAACGTAAGGGTCTCAGGTCTCAGCCCAGCCGACTAGCAAGTCACCTGAGAGTGTAGGCCACACCCCAGACCCAGGACTCAGCATCATCAGAGCGGGAACTCAGGCATCCATATTTTAGAATTTCTCCACTGTTGACTCTGAAGTACTCATGGGGTGAGAATGGCCGGCTATGAGCATCCCCTAAGCCTCCCCTACACCTGTCAACGGGCTGCTTGATGCCAAAGTCACCTCTGTAGGCTCTCATGTCTAGGTAGGAATTTCTGCCAAGCTCATAGGTGAAATGTCCCAGAATTATTGTACTTTGTGGGAGAAAGTGGAGGGAAATAGAAACCCATCAGTTGGGCAGCCAGAGGTGGGGAGAGCCAGACTCCAATACTTCTTCCCCAGCGTCACCTTATCTACTGGGAAATGGGTCTCCTTCCCTTTCTCATGCTGGAAGCAGACGCTAGGTACAGAAAATCCTTTGCCGGGAAACACATAAATCAGAAAAATCATTTGAGGGGTGTAAACCTCTGAGAAGAGGGCTTGGGTTCAAAGGTCTGCTAGTTTGGGAGGTGATGAGACCAAAAACCAGATCAGAGCCCCAACAAAGGCCATGACTGCGGCAAGTGATAAAACTTTAATGACGGGGGAAGGGTGTCCTGGGCACAGCTTTTAGGAGGCCATAAAGCTTGTGGCTGAGCCATCTGTACTCCCTCTGTAAAAAGCGGCCTGCACACATCTGGAGAAGGAGTGAGTGGGGGGCTGGGCGGAGCCGGCTTGGGGAAGCAGAGGCAGAGCTGAGATGGTAGTTGCTGGAGGGTGACTGGAAAAGGGGCAAGGCTGTCTTGGGGACCCTCCGGGGTATGCAGTCCCCACATATCTACCGTGTGGCAGGTGGCCTCATCTTCAGCAAGGAGTTGAGGGTGGTGGGGAAAGCGTTCACAGCCCCCTGGCAGGGAGTACATTTCAGGGGTCCCCTTTCATTCCCAAGAGCACTGACAGGCCTCACAGAAGTCAGGTTATTAGTGCCAGCATCTGACAGAAACGGCCTCCCCCGTCCCGCCACCTCAGAGCTGCCTTCCTTGGGGTCCAGTAATGATTTGAGATCTAAATGTTGAGAAAAACGGAGGAGGGAGGGAGCTAAAGAAACTGCTCCCAGCTGTTTCCTTTGCCAAAAAGTGTAATTGGCATGGCTGGGTGTGAAGTGTGCCAGCCCCCTAGGCTCCGAACCCCAGCACTCCCGGGGAGATGAGAGCTGCCCCCGTGACTGGGAGCCTCGCCTGGCTGTCTGCCTTGAACACACCCAGTCTCAGTGCCTGGTGACAGACCAGCAGCCACAGGCATCCTCTCCTGAGTTGGGTCTCACCTATAATATCTCCCGGCCCTGGAAGAGCCCCCAAGCTCAGAGCTTGTCAGAACATTGCAAATAAAGCCAAAACTCTCATCCACACCAGCCTGCCAGAAAAATGTGCTCAAAGCCGCACTGAGAAGCATGGCTGACCCTTTTAGATTTCCCTCCCTCCCTGCCTTCTCCCTTCCAACTTTCCCTCATCTCTCTTTCTTCCTTCACTTTCTCATTATTTGGTTACAATTTCTTTAGAGGTCATTTACAAATAGCACCAACATGGAAATGACACTTGCTCTTGAACTTAGCAGCTCTGTGTAGACACTTTCCATTGCCCGTGCTCCTGTTGATGGGCACCAGGACAGCCATGTGCAAGGACCCACAGTGCAGTGTGTCTGTCATAGCCCAGGATGGGAGAGGACCCGCATGTCCATCAGGAGGGGATGGGGCAAGCTGGTGACAGTGCCTTTAGCACAGAAGGCCGAGCAGCTGTTAGAAAGAAAGGGACAGAGATATATGACCGAGGGGGGAAGATCTCCAAATATACTAGGCAACAGAGAACAAGGTATAAGTATGAACACAATGCCACTCCCTGTGTAAAAATAAAAGGGAGGGTGGGAAGGGGATTAGACAGTAACTGCAAGGTTTGCTTTCTTAAAAACAGGCCTGAAATAAATACTGCAAAATGTCAGCATTTGTACATTCACAGTTACTGTTACACAATTTTCTGTTTCAGACTTAGAAATATTTTTAAAATTAACAAAATTTAAATGGGAAGATAGTGTATATAAACGCATTTATTCTGGAAAAGAGGGAGAGCTAACACTTTGAGAGTGTTCACAGTGGCCAGGCACTGTTTGAGCTTGCTGAATTCTCATGATAATCCTGTGAGGTAGGTACTCTCATGACCCACTCCCCTTCATAAAGGAGAAACTGAGGTACTGTATTTCACTTGAGGCACAGAGCTACCCAGAGAGGCGGCCAGGATTTGAATCTAGGCAGCCCGGCACCAAAGTCTGTGCTCACAGCCATCACACTACACCGAAGGATCCCAAAAGGCACTCAGGGAGCTGGCCTCAGGAATGCTGGCATGCCGGGGGTGGGCAGTTTGCTTTTTACTGTACACCTTTGTACTATTTGAATCTTTTACACATGCACATGTTACCATTTTTAAACCTGTCTTTTACAAGTTGGATAAATTTCATTTACCAAGAAGTAACAGAACCCTGACAGGTGTGGGGCTACGGAAGCAGCCAAAGCCCTCCTTCCTCCCAGAGGCTGAAGAAATGCTCTGAAGCCAACGGCCCGCAATTCAAGGCTGCATCGGGTCTGAGCCTGGGGCTTTAGCTCCTGCCTGCCCTTCCCCTGCCGGTACAGACCCCGCCCCCTTGCCGCTGGTCATCACGTGACCTCGCTGTGCCATGATGATTGGCCCAGGAATGAGTACCAGATCTAAGCCCAGCCAATCAGAATCTTCCCCTAGTGGAAGATTCTTTTTCTTCTGGTTACTGGACCCGGGTTGCCAGAGCCCAGGGCTATCTGACAAAGCGTGCAGTGGAGTACAGGAATCCATCCAGAGAGGGACAAGGATCAGTCAGCTGCATTTACTCCCTGGCTCCCATCATCTCAAAGCCAGCTCCCGGCCTGCCTGTCCCCAGTTTCATTCACCTCCTTTTGAGTTGACCTCTGAGTGAATAGAAACCCACAACCCAAAGCAAGGGAAGCCCACACCCAGCGAAGCCCTCCCCCAGAGGTTAAGGGACCGTGTGAAGACTGGGATTCCACTCTCCCTCGCAATGCGGTTTCGAAGGAGTTGCTCAACCTCTTTGAGTCTCAGTGTCCAGCTTCCATGGCTTGCCTCACAGGGCTGTCCAAAGGATTAGCAGATTAACCCCATCCCAGGCACACCAATAATGAGTAAAGTTAATAATATGGTGACATCAACTGAGCCCATTGCCTTGAAAAATAACTCCTCACTAACTACAATAAGCCCAAACTCCAGGTTCTGGATAAGAGGTCCCCAGCTGGGAGGCAAAGCAGCAGAGAGACAGGCAGTTGTTGCCGCTGTGCCCTTAAGTCCCTCCAGCTCTCTCTGTGCCTTGGGCGGATGCCCATGGGACCCACATCAACAGGCTCCCTGCAGTTCAGACCTCTGGTGCCTCAGGATTCTGAGGGGGCACGAGAGAGGGGTCAGGATGTTAACTTCCCTGGAGGGTCCCCATGGCTGCCTGCATCCTTCCCATCCCTCTCTGTCTGCTGAAAACGACTCCCTCCCTCACCCTCAGGCTGGGGATGGGAGTGGCCCCCCACAGTGCTAGCCCTGGGGTTCTACACCCTCATGGGAGGGTTCACCCACACTTTGTAAATACTCCCTTATTGAAATCTCCTCGCATCACCAATTTGAGTGTGTGATCTGCTTTTCATGGGGACCCTGAATAGCTGATAGTGGTTCTTTTTCAAGTGTCCCCAGGTTCTAGCCAGACAAAATCCTCTGCAGAGGACACTGCTTGGGAGTCCCAACTCTGGTCACTGTCCCTGCTTCCTTCAAGCCTCTATACCCCAGCAGTTCTCTCCAAAATCTGTCAGACCCCAAGTCTCCACAAAGGACCTCTGATAAGAGCCTCTGGGGGACCTCCAGCCCCAATATGGCACACACAGGGTCACAGCTGGGCTCAGGAAGCATCCAGAGAAGCAAACCACCGACTTCTACACACCAGAAAAGATACCTGAGAGTGTATTTATCAAGAGATACATAGAAATGGGCAGATGGCATCTATCTATAGATACACAAAGCTCTGTTGGAGAACCATGTAGGTATGTAGGTGCGTAGGTATGGAGATATCTGCCACATCCTCCATTACAACCAACAGCACTCAATCGGCCCATCTTGGAAAACCATGCTTATTTATGTGGTTGGCTCCCTTTCTAGCGGTTTCCAAAATGAGAAGGCTGGTTTCAGGGACAGTCCTTAAGTATATGTGTGTGTATTTTTCTAAAGAAGAGAGAAGGAAAAGTGTATTTTCATGTTGTGCATGGCAGAAAAGATAGCACTGGTTTGGGGCAAGGGTGTGATCCCATTGGAAAGGTGTGAGAGAGAACTCCAGAAAGGACAGCTAAGGTTGTAGGGTGGGACGTAAAACACAACAGCAAGGAGGTCGCATGTCTGCAGTCCGCTGAAATCCCTTGTAGCACATTACAATCAGTTAAGGGCAAAATAAAATCAGAGGTAAGAGGTAGCAGCTGTTTATCTTCTCGAAGATTTTGAGGGTCTCTGGAAGCCAGGCTAGGTAAGGGTATTCTGGAAAGGACTGGAGTGGGGCAGAGTTTGGGCCAAGGGCTCCCCAGCTCTGGGAGGGGTGTGGGCCAAACCGCATGGACACCGCAGCTCCCAGCCCCAAGGGAGCCTCTGCCGTCTACAGGCCACTTCCAAGCCAGAGTCATTTCCTGGGTAAGTTATGCAGTCCCACAACATATAAATAAAAGTTTAGTTCTGTGTTTCCATATATCTTCTACATGAAGGCTAGCTAAATATTAGTGGAGTAACAATAATTATTAATAACAATCATCATAATAACAATAATTAATAGAATAATAATGCCTTGGGGGCGTTGGGAAGGGGGTCCTTCATATGGTGGGGTGGGGGCTCTGGGAAGGGGCTCTATGTCTGGTAAAAGTGGTGGTAATGGTGGTGATGTTCATGGTGGTGGTGGTGCTCGTGTCTCTGGACCGCCTGCCCGGCCTGGCTCTCGTATACCACCACGGCAGGTAGCTCCCGCCCTAGGACGGTGCCACCCGAGGCCAGCGGTGCCTGCAGGCCCCGGCAGCCCTGCTGGCTCTCCTTGGCTCGGTGCTTGTGCTTCTTGTGCCCAAGGGGTGCCAGGGTGGGGAGGAGGGCCGGGCTGGTGGCCAGGTGAGCAGAGGGAGACACCGCGGGCATGGTGGGTCCCAGGGAGGGCTTGCTTCTTGCCCCTCTGGCCATGTGGCCCACACCCACACTCTTGCCCTGGGCCTTGGGGGACCTCACAAAGTGCTTGCTCCTGTCCTGGGTGCCCCGGAGCCGTTGCTGGAGCTCCGAGACCTTGGCGATTGGGGTGTCAAGGAAGTGGAAGGAGCCCAGGTCCGCGCCTGGGGGCTTTCGGTGTGGGACGTGGTTGGCTTCCGGCTCATGGGAGCGAGATCGAGTGGGGTTGGAGGTGCGGGGGGGCAGTTCTGACTTCTGGGCCACAGAAGGGGAGCCTAGGAACCAATTCAACAGACATTTAATGAGCACCTACTATGTGCTGGGGCTTGTACAATACCCCAGAAATTGCCCCAGTCCCCAGTTCTCCAAGACTGACAAATGCCAGCTACTCTGACTCACAGCCACCCCCCACCCGACTGGCCCTCCCTGTCTTGGAGGAACTCCCTGAAACCAACTTTCCCATCTGCTAAGTGGGAAGAACCTGTTCTTTGGCAGGTCTTCAAAAACAATAAATTCAGCTGGGCTTGGTGGCTCAGCCTGTAATCCTGCACCTTTGGGAGGCTGAGGTGAGTGGATTGCCTGAGCCCACAGGTTTGAGACCCACCTGGGCAGTGAGACCTCATCTCTACAATAAATCAAAAAATCAGCCGGGCGTGGTAGCGCACGCCTGTAGTTCCGGCTACTTGGAAGGCTGAGGCAGAAGGATCGCGGGAGCCTAGCGGGTTGAGGCTGTGGTGGACGGACGCGGCCACCGCACTCCAGTCTGGGCGACAGAGTGAGACTCCAACTCAAAAAACCAAAAAACCAAAAAAAACCCAATAAACTCTCCTGAAAAAGAGATGGCAACAGAGACTCTGAAAACTGTGGTCATAAGGGCATGAAAGAATTCTAAGCGTATTACTGAAAACTTATCGAGGGAACTCATAGAGGAATTAACACATCAGGAGGGAGTGGGGGAATGAAATTAAGCAAGAGGTCAGCACATATCACAGATTCACTTGGTGAAGCCAAGTCCTCACTGAAAGGAATAGCCACAGGGCTTCGTTATATTCTAAGCCCTCAGGTACGACCCGATTTTGTTCAGTTTCATACATGTACATTGTTACTTAAATCTTGAAAATGTTTTTAACGTTACTTTCTCCAGAAAGCGCCTTTGACCTGTTCAATGACAGCGACTTCTTGCCCCAACACAATCTGCATGGCCTGCCCCATTCAGCCATGCCCTGTGCCCTCCTCCCCCAGCCCCACGCAGGGTGCTTGAGTCCCTTACCAGGCCCAAACTGGGATGTGTAGTTTTCTATCCCGGCGAGATCTAAATAGTGGTTTCTCCTCTCGATGTTCTCATCTACGCAGTGGTGGTAGCAGCCAGACTGCTCCAGGCGGCTGTCACCCTGGAACCTACAGTGGGGAAGGCAAGAGGGTGAGTTGGACCGGGCCACCAGTTGGGGCAGCCCCACAGGCTCCTGGGAAGACACCAGGACAAATTCTGGCCCTTTATTAATTTCCTTCTTGGCCTTGCAAAGGGATAAGAGGGTGGGGAGGAACAGTCATCTCTGCAATCTGGGCCTCCATGTTCTCCTCTTCAGATGGAGGTAGAGACCACGGCCTGGCTTCGGAGCAACTTTGCCCTGAATAGGCCCAAGGAAAATGCAAGGGATCATTGGTCAAAATCTAAGGACCCTCCAAAGCCAGGATTCAAGCCATGTGTGCCCACTGCAGGCAGGCAGTCTAAGCCCTGGGCTGGATCCCCAGCGGGCATGGGCAGCAGAAGCCCCCCAGACCCTTGGCATTGGCATTGACCTGCCCCAAAGCCCAAATGTGTATGTGCATGTGTGGGTATGGATGGAGGGATGAGGGAGAGCGGCACTCTCCAAGACCTCCCGCCTTCTACCCTGCAGGACCTTCAGGGACCTCTGTGATCTGCCTGCCTCCAGCCCATCTTCCTCCCCACCTTCCTCCCCCATGCCCCAGTCTCCAACCAGCCTGGATGCCTCCAGTTCTCAGCGCCCTTGGGCTTGTGCCCCTGCTTGGACTGCGTTCTCTCTTCCCTATGCTGGTACTAATCCAACGGCAGTCACTTTCTCACCATGTGCACACTATGGATTAATGTAGCCTCACAGTACTGCCAGGTACTCAAGGCTTTTCTTTCAACAGTCTCTCTCTTTTCCTCCCTTGCAGGTAAAAAAAAATAAATAAATAACAGGTGAAAGGTAATTGCGACCTCACAATCTCTTATCCACAATTCTGAAATCCAAAAGCCTGTGAACAAAGAATTTTCATAACCCACTTGGCAACCAAGCTTGCCTAAAGTGACAGGAAGATGTTTCCCATCTTTAGCTCACTTAGTGTGAATATCCATACATCTCCCCACAGAAATTGCAAGGTGTGAGATCCCGAGGTGCTGCCCAGACCCACATGCAGTACATGAGAATCACGCCAGGAGCATGTTTCTAAAGCCCAACAAATGCTGAATTCCAAATCATGCCTGGCCCAAAGTGTTTTGCATAAAGGGACATGGACCTGTATTTGATCATTTTTTAAATGTCAGAGTTTGATTTATGAGTCTGAGCACCTGAGACCATTGTTCCCTGAAGACAGCATGGACTGGAGCCTCCTGCTCTACATCCCATGGACACAGGTACACAGCCGGTGCTCAATACACGCTAGTGTGTGCCATGCCCACTATACCTGAGGGGGGCTCGCTGCTTCTTCTCCCAGCTTCGCAGCTCCTCGGCAGGCTTGGTCTCTGCTCGGGGCCTCGTGCTCTGCAGGTCTGAGTCCGGTCCAAGAAGCACAAGAAACCCTGGTGAGCCCTGCCCTTGCTCCTGGACCTGCCCTGGTGGCTACCTGGCCCCAGCAGCTTTGTAACACAGTTGTGGGAGGGCTCCCCAAGTCGAGACTAAATAGATGGGTCTCACAGCTACCTGAACTGCTCACTCCTCTCCCGACTCCCCTCCTCCCCTGGACTCCCTAGCTGGCCTCAAGGCCCTGCCCCATACCCTCACCATAACAGTCTTTACTACAGTCACACGCCCACACCATGGCTCTGCCTATCCAGGGCCTCCCATCCAGAATCCTGTCCCTCCCCTTCCCTACTCCCACCCCACGCCTTCAAGGACTCGCTCGAACCCCACCCACCCACAAAGCAGCTCCCTGAGAAAGCCTCCAGTCCCCCCCAGGCAGGCCCTGGTCCCTCCTGAGAGGTGGACATACATTGCTTTACAGTCTCGCTCCCGCAGCCCTCACCGGCCTGGTTGACGAGGACACTCCTCTTGCTCTGGCTGCCGTCAGGGGCCACAGTGAGCTTCACTCGCAGAGTCTTGCTCGATGTCGGGGAGTGGTTGACGGAGGAGTCCACCACCTCGTAGATGGTGTGCAGCAGGCTGGTGATGTCCTGGGTGGGAGGGAAGTGGGAACCCATGCGGGGTCTCAGCAGGGCATTGAAAACAGGAATCAGCGGGCATGGCAGCGGCTTCAGGGCTGGACCCCATGGATCCCCCAAAGCCCAGCCTAAGGCAGAAACATGGATGCCAGAGGTTCCCCGAGGAGGAGATCCTAGGAAGCAGGAGTGAGGGAGCAGGGAGAATGAAGGAGGAAAAACTCATGAGAAAGAACAGAAAGAGCAGGTACAGCCATGGGCACCATGAACAAGTGGGGCTCAGCTGCCCTGGGACCCTCCAAGGAACGGTCTAATCCAGTTATGGGGAGTTGAAAACTGGCTCTCATCCCTCGCTGGCTGAGGAGTACCCCAAGGCTCTCCATCCCCTCTCTTCTTCCAGGCTGCCCTGCAAGGGCTGAGCCAATCCCAGCACCCAAGAAAGCTTAGAAGAAGAGGAAGAGACACCAGAGGTCTCTCTCCATCATGTGAGGACACAGTGAGAAGGAAGCCATCTGCAAGCCAGGAAGAGAGCCTTCACCAGGCAATGAATCTACAGGTACCTTAACCTTGGACTTCCAGCCTCCAGAAATGAGATAAAATAAATTTCTGTTGCTTAAGCCAACCCAGTCTGTGGTATTTTGCTAAGGCAGCTTGAGTTAAGACAAACCCTAAAAGATACATGATTTTGTGAGAACTCAACCAAATCTCATCTCTCTGGGTCTCAGTTACAGCCTCAGCCAGAACATGCTCTGTGGGGTGTCTCAAAGTCCTCTGATTTGGGGTGGAAGGGCACAGACTCCCCTCACTGGGCCTCCCTTTTCTGGGAGTCAGCTGATGTCACTCATCTAAGGGGCAGCATCCTGCTTTAAATGACACTGGACACCTCTGGAGAAGACATTTCCTCTCTCTCTCAGGCCGACATCTGGCCAGTTATCTGCCAGTGATGCTTCATGAGCACAGAGTCAGCCTTCCCTGCCCCTCCTACCCATAAGCCCTTTAGGCTGAGGGGCAGAGGCAACCCTAGTGCCATGGCCAGGCAAGCATGTGGATGGGTGACCTGGAGTGGTGGGGCCAGCTGAGGCACTGGTCCTGGCCCAGGAGGAGGCAGCCACTTAATTCAGCAGAATTGCCCTCTGACAGTGGAGACTGAGGGTCATTCCAGAGAGGTCAGAAATCCAGAGTCTTCTGTTAAGTCTTCAAAGTCTTTGATATTGAAAACTAATTTATTTTTATTTTTTTAATTTTATTTTGAGTTGGAGTCTCACTCTGTTACCCAGACTGGAGTGCAGTGGCCGCTCACGGCCACCGCAGCCTCGACCTGCTGGGCTCCGGCAATCCTTCCACCTCAGTCTTCCGAGTAGCTGGAACTACAGGCACGCGCTACTACGCCCGGCTGATTTTTTGATTTATTGTAGAGATGAGGTCCCGCTGCCCAGGCTGGTCTCAAACCCGCCAGCTCAGGCAATCCACTCACCTCAGCCTCCCAAAGCACTGGGATTACAGGCTGAGCCACCAAGCCCAGCTACTAATTTAATTTTTAACAAACCCTCTGGAGGACCAGACATGAACACCTGGGGGCCAGATTGGAATTGTGGGGGCTGCCAGTTTGAGACCAGACTCAAGTGGCTCATTCACTGGCTTGCTCAGCAATCTCAGCTCTTCTAGCACGGCCAGTATAGGCCCCTGTTCTCCCTTGAGCTTCTCTGCCCAGCCATGTTTGCTCAGTCTCTCACCATCTTGGGAAGCCTGTGAGGGAGGCGTCATTACACAGATGTGACAATGGAGGCCCACCAACATCATCCCCCCAGCGCCTGACACCTTAGAAGGCCTGGGCTCAGGAGTGTCATCCCAAGGGTCCCAGTTGACTCAGGTTCTAGTAACAGGTGTGCTTTGGTGGTTCCAGTTTGAAAATCAACCCCCCCCCCCCGATGGCACAGGGCCAGGCATGCGGGAATAGGCACCATAAATGCTTCCTGCATGGAGGAACACCTGAAGGATGAGCAGGTGCCTTTTTCCTGATTGAAAAGTCAGCCCAGGCACTGGCTCTGGGCTGCAGATGCAGTGAAGTGAGAGCCGCTGGCCCTGGCACACAGAGAGCATGGGTGGGAGCAGTATTTACGGCCAGATTTGAGGAGTGGCTCTGGGACTAAGAATAGAGCAGGAAAACGAGAACCAGGCCCTCCCTCCATTTGAAGCCAACCCCTCAGCTACCCTGGCAGAGGAAGACACCATCCAGAGAACACTCTCTGGCCAGGCTGGAAACCTGGAAACCTCGGAAACCCTCTCTTCCTCTCATTATGAAGGCAGTTAAGAAGGGCACACGTTAAAGCTGTCAGCAATCATGTCACTGCTGCCAAGGGGAGAGCCTGCCTGATCATAAGGGAATGCACAGAAAACAGAGCCATGAAGATGACCCAGTCCTGAAGACATGGAGCCTCTGGATCCAGCTGTGCTTGAGTCAGCAACCTCATACCAAATTCTGGTTACATGAGCCAATATATTCCTTTTTTCTTTTAGTACAGCAATTGAGATGGTATTCTGTTACTTAGATGTCAGAGAGTCCTGAATGATTAAAAGTCATAGCTTCCTCCTCCAACCTGCTCAAACAGCCCCTAACCCACAGCCTGAGGAAGAGGAAGGCTTTAACCCAGCTCTGTCCTCAGGAAGCATAAAGGCCAACTTCCCCTGCACTATCCACAGAGAAGAAACATCCACCCTGGGAAGAGGAGATGAGACAGCCTGAGGCCCCTACATGCTGGACAAGGGGTGGACATGGAGCCAGCCATGCTAACCTCAGGCCTCTGCGTGATGCAGGGACCCCAGACAGGCAGCAGGTCCCAGGCCTGAAAACAGGGGCTTCCTGGGGAGGGAGAAGGTGTCAGAGAACGACGGGAAGGACAAGGAACAGGGAGGCAGAAGGCTGCTTCCCAGGGCCTCCAGGCCCCAGAGGACTGGCCCTCTGACCACAGCCATCTCTCCTGTTAAGCAGCCACCACAGCCACCTCCTTCAGTTCCTTAATCACCATGAGTCTCGCCCACTGCCCACCTAGGACTCTCCCCCAGCTGTGAATTCCACGCTGCACACTACAGGGCTCTTCCAGGAGGCCTCCCTGGATGCTTTGGCCAATCTCTGTCAACCCACTCTGTTTATTTCCTTTACCGAATACATCACTGCTTATAGTTATCCTATAATTAAATAAGAAATAGTAATTATAAAAAATATTTTTTAAATTGAAATTTAATTTTTAAAAGTCCTGCATCAGAATTCCTGAGCCATGAGGCGAGGAATTGTGCCAGTTTTGTTCCCTGCTATGTCCTCATGCCCAGAACCAAGTACCCAACAGATGCAGACAGTTGGTGCTCAGTATGCAGAGACACAGGCAGGAAGGAGGGAGCCTGGGAGGAGGCCTCTGAGAGAGGGACAGGCATGCAGAGGGGGGAAGATGCAGAAGAACAGGCTTGGAGGGGGCCGTGACTACAGCTGGCAGCTGGTAGGGTCTTGAGCGCTGGGGATGCTCATCCCTGGATCCTAAAAGTGAAGTTTTGTGTAGCCCCCCAAGCTCCTGCAGAATGGCCGAGTGGGGGAGGTGGCCTGCAGTGCCCAGCCCCAAGGAGGAAGCAGGACAGGACTCTGCTGGAGTCTGGCGTCCTCCTCCAAAGAGGCCTTAGGGCTCCACCCCTGCCCCTGCCCCTTCCTGGGAGAGAGTGCCCAGGCCGAATGAGGAGAGCTACCCTTGCTCTCTGTCCCCTTTTCCCACTCACCTGCAGCTCTAGGATGCCCCTCCAACCTCCAGCAGCACCCTGCAGCCCTGAACCCCACCCCTGCACTGCTTCCAGCCATTCTCAGGAGCAAGACTGACTGCAGGGGGATGGGGAGCAACAGCCAGGGTGCTGGGCCTGGGCCCTGAGCCCAAGGCGTGCCTATGGGGAAGGCCAGGCAGCACACTCACCTCTCGGGTGACCTTGCCATTGTTGTCAAAGTCGTAAAGGGTGAAGGTCCACTCCTGCCGGCTATCCTCCTCCACGGACACGTCACACTGCAGTTCCTGGACACAGAGGGAAAGGCGGGCTGGTCATCCATCAGCTGCAACATCTTTCTGTCCCACGTCTTGCCTCAGCCACTCTCCTTCTTCTGCCACAAAGCAGGCGGCACCCCGACTGGCCACACGAGGACTGGCTCAACCCCCAGAGGGAATGGTACCTGATCCACGGACGCTGGCAGCGTGTGCCCGGCACTGCATTCCCACCCTGGTTTCTGCAGCTCCAAGCCTTTCCCTCCAGCAGTTCCTGGGCAGCCCATGCTGAGTTCAAAGTGTGCCTTGCCTCAGTGTGACATGCCTGTTTGATCCTGCCAAGGGCCCGCCTTGCTCTCTGAGACACTGGTACATGTAGTATGGCACACACACTACACATATGTGCTCTTACACACCCCTACACATACACACCCCTATACACACACCCCTACACATATACCTACACACCCATACCTACATACCACTACACATATGCCTGTATACTCTCCTACACACATACCTATACACGCCCTTACACACACCCCTGCACACACCCTTACACACACACATACACACCCCTATACATTTACCCACACACTCTAGCACACCCTTACCACACACCCCTATAGACAAACCTACACACATCCATCCATGCACAACCCACACATGTACAACCTACACACTCCTACACAACCCTACACACACCTACACATGCACACCTCTACACACACACCCACACATTGGTCTGAGTTTCAGAAACATGGGTTGAGTAGGGATGGCCACTTGCCCCACCCTATCTCATGTGGGTGTCCTTGGCCTCCCTCCTGCACCTGGACTTCCCAGGTAAGTTGTCCTCACAAACCGTGGCTCAGTCCGAACAGCCAGCCCCTCTCGAGATGCAAACCCACGTGGACCTCCAGGGAAGCAAGATGGCGGATCTGGGCCTGCCTCCTGCTAAGCCTACCCTCAGCTCTGCCCCCTGAAGCCACAGCAGGGACCCAGGTGGGCTTGGAGCAGGGCTGGGTGTTGGGAAGAAGCTGGCACTTTGAAACTCTGAACTAGACACTGCCTGTTCCCCTCAGTGCCTGTGTGCAAGGCCCTTGGCGACGGGACTTGCCCCTGTTCCTGTGCCGTCTCCCACCAGGCCCCCTGTCCTGCACAAGACACACTGTGCAGCTTGCTACCCCACACAGCAAGTGGTACTCCAAGCCTCCAGGCCTTCGCTCTTCCCTCTGCCTGAGGCCCCTCTTACCCAAAGGCCTCCCTGTGCATCCCTCTCCACCCTGCTCCTACACTCAGAGCCTCCACCCACAGCCTGCTCCCTCCTCTCAGCACCGCACAGGGTCTGGAATTGCCGAAGTGCTTATCACTCCACACCCCTGCAGCCTAACTCAGGTCGCATCACATCACCGCCTGGGCAATCATAGGCTCTGGGTCACTCATCTGTCTCCTCACTGCACTGTGTGCTCCACTAGGGCAGGAGCATCGCCCAGTTCACCCTGGGTACCCTGGCCACCAGCCGGTACCCAATCAGTACTGGTGGGAAAGAGGACAAGTGCTCACTCTGCCCCAACACCTTCCTACAACCCTGGGGCCATGAGCTCAGGATGCCCACAACGTCCCAGGATGACAGCGGGCACTGCTATCCCCAACTCACAGGACAGGCAAATGAGGCCACCAGGACTTTGAAGGGACTTGCCCTGAAGTCACACAGATACGAAGTGGGGTGGCTGGGATCTGACCCCAGGCCTGCTGGCTCTAGAGCCGTGCCCTGGTGATCTCAGGAAAGAAAGCAGAGGGGAGGAGGAAAGGGAAGAGGAGGGAAGAGAAGTGGGCTCCACGTGGCAGGCCTGGGGCTTACGCTCAGCACCTGGCCCTGAGCTTGGCGTGCAGAGGGAGCTCAGAGCACTGTTCTGGTGGGGGTGGGGGAGAGGAGGGACAGACTGTGAGCTCTGGGAGGGCATATCCCTTGTGCTGACTACACAGGGAAACTGAGGTCCAGAGAGCATCGAGGGCCTGCCCAAGGCTTCCTGCCTCCTCACTTGAGAGAACGGCCCTAAGAACTGAAAGGGAAGGTTTCAAGAGGAAAGCAAGGTTCAGAGAGGTAGCGACAGCAGCAGCACAGAGCCAGGGTTCTGTCTCCCCTCGTCCACTCTCATGCCCCTCCTTTGGGCTACTGGGCGCAGCCCAGCTGGATCCTCTCCACCCCACGTGGAGAGGCTGAGGGTCCCCTGAGGGGCAGGCAGCAGGGAGTCTCCGGGGCCCTTCCCTGAGCTGAGGCAGCCCATGTGTGTTGGGAAAAATCTCCTGGGGGGTGGGGAGGGGGCACCTGTCGTGCAAGAGGTGAGGGGCCCTGCTGTCTTGGCAGGCCTCCCCAGGCCCAGCTGCAGGCAAGGAGACTTACTTCAAATTTCAGCTGCTTCTTGGAGGCCGGGCACGCCTCGCTGGCTCTCTCCATCCTCTTCTCATCACCGCTGCCCAGTCCGTCGGCCTTCTCGGGAGGCAGGGCCACTGCAAAGGCAGAGAAAGGGTGTGAGGAACGGAGTCCAGACGTGGCTGCTGGGCCACCACTCCCACTTTGCCACCATCTGCGCAGTCCAACATGGAGGGCGTCCTAGCCAGGGCACTGGCCGGTTCCTGCCGCCCACTTGCTGGGGTCCACGTCATTTTTCTCTTGGGCTACTGTTAAAATGGGGCTGCCTGAGGTGAGTTACCCACAAGGTGAGGTCTCTTCAAGGTACGTCCATATCAGGTCACCAAGTGGGCCTCTCGGACCCCCGTCAGCCTGTGCCTTCAGCACCCTGAGAGGCATGTGGGTACTCAGAGCAGTGTTGGACCACAGGGCAGACATGAGGGCAGAGAGGCACTTTCAGAGCCCCAAGTGAGGGCCCAGGCCATGGTCACTCTCTGCTCAGCCTTGCCGCCTTCCACACAGACAGTCTGGCCTTTTTGCAGGTGCCACCCACCTGGGCCCAGCATGCAGCATGCTGGTGAGTAAGCAGGAGGGTACTGGAAACATTTCATCCAGGCTGGTGGCGGGCATGTGTACACCAGCACAAACACCCCTGCACACGCGCGCATGCATCCGCATGCACAGATGGCATCTTCAGGGATAAGCCCAACTGCACCTTGCATTTGGCCTCTGCGTATCTGGAGCCTTTTCCCCTTGTGCCAAAGGTCACAGTGCTTTGTGTGGCCTCTAAGGGGCAGTGCGAGGGCAGATGTGAAATCCCATGACCTCCTGACACCAGTTTTCCCTGGATGCCTCCAAGAGGTGCCAGGAGGTCAGCTCAGGGCAGCACCGTTTTTCTAGACTAGGGTCCAGACTACAGGTGCCATAGGATCTTGAGCATTCCACGAGACTCCTTTGGTCCCTTCTGCCTGTTTTGTCTCTGCCTGCCACAGGGCTTGGGTCTGCCGGGGACATCTGTTCCAGAACACGTTCACAGCTCCTCTCTTACTCGATCCCTTCGGCTGCTTTGGGGCAGGGACTCAGCTGTCCATTGTACAGGTGAATACCCTGAGTCCAGCTCCTACTTAAGGGCTACTGAGGGCCACGTGGGCAGCTGAGATGCCCCAGCCAGAGAGGAAGACAAGGCTGGACTTCCTTGGGAAGTCAGGAGCCTGGAGAAATGGGGCTGGCAGGCCAGGAACCTAGGTGGGGGCTTTTCATCTCTCCCCTCCCCATCCCTATCACAGCCCCCAGCTTTGCAGACAGGACTCAAGAGCAGCCCTGGGCCAGGCATGGCAAGGCCTCCTGCATGAGGACTGGGCCCTGCTCTCTCCCAACAGTCAGCTAGCACACACCCCCTGGTGCCCTCCCCACTTGGTGCCACCACGCATGAAAGGAGGCAGCCCTGACTGAGTCCGTGCCGCCATCAACTCAGTCCTCACTGCAGCCCAGCGAGGCAGGTAATATTATCAGCTCCATTTTCAAGACAGGAAAACTGAGGCACAGAGAGGAAAAGTGCCTTGCTAATAAGTGGAAGAGCTGGAACTTGGCCTAAGGGCCTGAATCCCGCTCACAACCCCTTCCCAGGCTGCCCTCCAAGCCTCTCCTGGCTGGATGTGGGAGGCTGGGTACTCTCTTAGTCTGCCTCTCTCCACCTGAGGGCACGCCAGTCAGGTCAGCGTCACCTTGGCTTGGGCTCGGATCCTCCACCACTGTGTGGCCCGGGGTGGGTCTCATAGTTTCTCTAGACTTCCCTGACTATGAAGTAAGGATGCCAATAGCCTCTTCCCCAGAGGGCTCTTGTGTGGGTTTGAACTATGAGCGTACAGGGCTGAGTGCCCAGCACATGGGGCCTGGCCATCGGCCTTGAGCAGTAACTGTTAAGGGAATGATAGCCCACTCCAGTATTCCTTTGGGGATCGGGATAGTTAGGAGCTAAGTTTTCTTAAAACTGAGGTGTAGGGAACACAAATGGAAACAAGAGTATTATATCAAACCCTCACAGCCCACATGGGAGCAGGGGAGGGGAAGGGTCGAGGGGAAGGATGCTCCAGGTCACCAGCTCAGACAGGGCAGGGGAAGGAAGGCCACAGCAGTGAATAGACCCGCGTGGCATCTCCATCCACAGCTCCCTCCCTCTCTTCCCTAAGCATACCCAGCAGCCAGAAGGGAGCCCATGGGGTCACCCAGGAGCTCCAGCTGGGGACTCCCAGCTCAGTCACTGGCCCCAGCTCCTCTCCTGGTGGCTTCACAGAATGAGGCCAAGAAGGACAAGCCTAGAAGAATCTGACTGCTCAGAAGACCAGAAGGTGCAGGCACTTGGCTTCCTCATCACCGAGTAGCTATTGGGAAGGTCCCTGACGCCCACTGCTTCTGCTGTGGTCAGTGAAGCAAAGCCTGGACCTCCCTGCTCCTCCACAGCAAACAATCACAGATCTACCTTATGTCCTGCTGGGCCAGAGCCACCACCATTGTGGGACCAGATGAGGTACACAGCATGGACACTTCCACCAGGCCACAAAGCAGTGGGCACTCCAAACGTCCCATGTGCTGGGGAACCGGGTGCTCCCTGTTCCCATCACTAAGAGAAGCCCTCAGTTCTAGAAGCCCCCAGCATCTGCAGTGGGTGCAGCTGAGAGGGCCTGTCTGGATTCATATTCGAGATTCAGACTCTGACTCTGCCATGAACCAGTCTGGACAGCTTTGGACAATTTGCTTGACTCCTCTGGACCTCAATTCTCCCACATGTAAAATGGGGGAACCAAGGGTCTCCCCCTCACAGGGCTGCTGGGAGAGGGCACTGAGGAAAGGCCTTACTCAGCACAGCAGCTGGCACACAGGAAGTGCTCGATAGTATTGGCTTTGTAAAGGATGCAGATGGGCCGTGGTCCTGGCTCATAGCCCTGATCAAAACGCCTCCCTTGCCCCAAAATTGCCACCTAGAGAAAGCAGAGTGATATTGCGGCCAGCAATATCCTCTATCAACCCTCCCGGGGAAGAAGAAAAAGAAGAAAGAAAAACAAAGCTCTGCTCCATCTTCAAAGCTGCTGCTCCCTCTGCAGAGGTTCTGGCTGGAGATACAAGCTGGCCAGGCTTATCGAAACCAAACTTCGAGTTCAAAGAGAAGTTATCAGAAAACCACCTTCAGGTTCAATGTTGCCTTTCATGTTCCACTTGATAAAACCCAAAGAAAAGGCACCTCTGTCCCTGCTCCTCCTTCCCTGGAGCACCCCTCTCCTGCCACGCAGAGGTCTGTCTCCCCTCAAGTCCTCCCCTGCCTCCCTCCTTTCTCCTCACCCAAGGAGGGGGCAGAAAATGGCCCCCTCAGCGCCTCATATGTCTTCCCCAGAGGTCAGCATGGCCTGAATCGTTCTCTTGTCACCAGCAGTTCCCTCAGCCCAGCTCAGAAAGCCACCCGGACAGCCACGGGTCAGCCCCGGGCCCCTCACAGCATGAGGCCCAGCACGGATGGATGGCAGGACTGTGATTCACCCTGCCCTGGGGCTGTGGGGTCAGGTACAAGGGCAGTCAGCACCCTCTGCCCCCCACCAAAGGCCTTTCCCCTTCCTGCTGTCCCCTGCCCAGTAGCTAGAAGAGGTGGCAGAGAACTGGCCAGAAAGCCACACAGACCCCAATGCCAGAGGTAGGGGCTGGGTCTCAGCCGCCTTGTGTCTTTTCCTACATATGAACCCTCTGAAAGCAAACGAAGTCAGCCTACTACTGCCCCCCACCAACCCGTGCAAACAACCTGCCCTCTACCCACCAATGATCGCCAGCAGGTAGGAGGAGCGGGTGGTGCTTGTGGCAGGATGCCCTGGCCACTCCACCCAGGAACAATGATGACAGTTTTGTCAAGAAGGGCTTTGGCACCAGAGTCAGAGTCCACTCGCTGTCTCTTATTCCTTGGAGTCCAGAGACTTGTTTTTCTCTGGAGATGGTCTTTTGGGGGACATACTCTCAAGGGGTCTCTGATCACTCTCCAATTGCAAGTAAGAGTTACTGTAGGAGACACTGCGCATTTGCAAGAAGAAAGGAAGACAGGGGACGTGATGGGAGAGAAAGGAAAGGACAAGGGTAGAGCATCACTTGCCTGTGACACACCTTTGGGTGACCAAAGAGCAAGAGGTGGCAAATGACACAGGGAGCCAAAGCTAGCCTCAAACCTACTTGTGTAAATGAAGTTTTAACGGGACACAGCCACCATCATTCACACTGGCCACGGCTGTTTTTGCTCTCCAACAGCAGAGGCCACATGGCCCACAAAGCCAAATATACATACTAGCTGACCCTACATGGAAAAGTCTGTGGATCACTGCTTCAGGCGAATACAGCCTGACTGCCCCACCCAGGTACATGCTTGATGAGCAAGGTGCAGACCAGATTTCACCTCCTACCTGCCTGCTTGACTAGAAACCCTTGTGCAGTATACAACCCACCCAACCCTATGCAGTGGCATGGAAGAAAGAAAATTTCAACTCTGCTTTCTTAAAACGCATGCTCAGCCTAGACGAGTGTGGGGTGGTTTGTGGAGCTCCTTCTGTTTGGAAGCTGCTCCCTGTACCTCCTCACACCGCAGCCACACCACGAGGAGTCAGTTCGCTGTCTTCACCAAGTGATGGTTCTCTTCCCCATTAGCTCTCAGCCTGGCAGCTCTCCACCCCCAGCAACTGCCAGATTAAATGCGTTACTTGACCATCTTCACCCGGCTCCCTTTGATGTTCCCTTCTCAAGCTTCAAAATACCTTTTGGAGGGAGATCAGACAGCATTAAACAGAATTACTAATTAATTAAGCAAAGTTAAATTTTAAACACTGTTTGTTGTGTTAGCCAAAAGCCTGAACAGAACAGACTTTTTTCCTCTGCTGAGATCAAAGACAGTCTCTTCCCTCTCCCCTCCCCCAGTTTAAAGGAAAGGGCGGGGGAGAAAGAGAGAGGCAAGAGTGAGGGAATACCTGAGAGGGGGCAACTTTGATCATGGGTCTAGACCCATCCTCTCCCTGGTGGGCCCAGTGGGAGGCTCCTTGGGGACCACATGCCGGGAGAGCCAGAGCCACTTGTA